TTCTCCATCCTCATGCCTCAGTCTCCTCAATGCTAGTATTACAGGCCTGTACCACCAGACCCAACTTTACACCTTTCTATTTAAGTAACTTTTAATCTCTTAATAAAATAAAAGTTAAACATGCTTATTGTAGGGGTGATTAAGATAGGCATATGGCATATGCCCTTTAATCTCTGCACTTAGAAGGCAGAGCTATAAGTGGTCTCTGTGAGTTCAAGGTCAGGCAGGACACAGTTGAGACCGTGTCAGGGGAGGAGGAATACAGTAGTAATGATCAACCACAACCCCACAGAACTGCCGATCAAGTTGGACGTTTAATGAAAACCAAGGACAAACAAGTAGCATTTCTCCTACTCCTAAAGGGAGACCTCTCTACTCCTCTAGGCCGCTTGGCTTACCTCACAGGACTCCCACTGTGGTCCACTACCATCTCACCCTGAAAGGCAAATCGGATCACAGCGCATGGCAGTATTGTGATCTGAATGCATCCCCTAAAGTTCACAAGCTGGAAACTTAGTCCCTGGTGCAACAGTCTTGAGAGATTAACCTTGCAGAGAGATCTGTGAACTCCGCCATCAAGATTGACTTGTGGAGGTGGGTGTGAAGTAGTATTGTGGAGGTAGGTCAGCTATCAGTGAGTGGCTTCCTGATAAAAAAGGGATGAACTGTGGAATGGGTCTCTCTTCTCTTCCATGGGATGAAGCATGCATGCAGCTTCCAGCAGACATTAGTTCTTCAACCTTGAACTTCCGAGCCTCCAGAAACATGAGCCAAATATATTTCTACCCCTCAAAGGTTACATGATACACCCTTTAATCCCAGCACTTGGGAGGTGGAGGCAGGAGATCTCTGTGATTTCCAATTCAGACAGGGCTACATAGTAAGACGGTGAGACCTTGGCTCAAAAACTTTAAAAAACAATTAGTAAAAGTTACACAGTTTATGGCAAAGTCCTTTGGTGGCTCTGCCGTTGGCACCTAGCCCAGTTTCTCTGAACACTCCCAAGCCTCCACTATCTCTCTCTAGGGACAGACTATAAAGCCAGCCTACAGCTCTCTCTCTATTCTTAAAACTATAGTTCTCTCTCCTCCACCTCTTAGGGGGTACCAAGGCTTCCCAAGGCTGCGCACAGTTATGGATCCCCTCCTCAAAGGCCCGGACTCACTGCTTTCTATTTTCACCATTGTCCTTTTTACTGTCCCATCTGTCAGATTACAGTGCCCAATGCCAGTGGCTTTGTTTTCAAGTCCCATGGTTCCAGCCCAGAGCCTCCCACACAGAAATGTACTTATATGGCAATCAGTTATCCTGAGCCTGAGACTAGGTTCCCCACTACCACTTTCTACAAACTGCTACTGTGCACCCAGGGGAGCATCAGACCATACCCAGACAGCACCCAGAACAGGCCCAACACTGGGCAATATTAGCTCAACAATTACGAACACAATTCTATGTCACTAGCTGTCACTGTCATCCATATTTTCTATTATTTATTTACTTATTTTGGTTTTTCAAGACAGAGTTTCTTTGTGTAGCCTTGGCTGTCCAAGAACTAACTCCTCTGTAGACCAGCCTGGCATTGAACAGAGATCTGCCTCCTGAGTGACGGGATCAAAGGCGTGTGTCACCACCACCTTCCTCTCTTCCTCTTCTAATTTTTTAAGTGTACTTTATATGTATAAAACGTTTTGCCTGCTTGTATGTCTGTGCTCCAATGTATGCCTGGTGTCCATGAAGACCAGAAGAGGGGGGGTTCAGACCCCTTGGAATTAGAATTAAACAGTTCATGAGCTGTCATGTGTGTGTGTGTGTTAGGAACAAAAACCTGAAACTTGTGTAAAATCAACAAGAGCTCTTAACTGCAGAAACATTTCTCCAGCCTTGAAAAACAAGCCTCCTCTCCCTGCGATGTCACTCCTCCTTCCCAGAGTCACTTCATCCTCCTGACTATCCCCACTGCCTCCCCCTGTGACCTTCGACCTCACAGCCCTACCTCAAGAGCCTGCCTGTCAAGCCCCTCCTGCCTGAGGCCACCTTGTGGACCCTCATGGATTCTCTGGTCTCCACTAGACAGAAGGAAATGAGAACGCTTTCCCCCACATCTGGGAGGGACAATCGGCAGTGAAGCAAATAGCGTTTTAAGCCGTTTAGATCACTCAATCAGCATCTTTGGCAGTTCACACATACCTGATGTAATACCTGAATGCCCCACTCCCACCTGTACACACAAGAAATGGTGGTGGAATCTGGGGGGAGGGCCAGGGCCAAAAGAAGGAAGAGAGACTTTTATCCCTGGGTATCATCTTGGGTTTGTTTTTTCACTGTGTACACCATTGTTTCACTCTCCTCCTCAAAAAAAGAAGAAATTAACTCTACGCTGGAGAAGGCATGCAAAAAGAAACTTACCACTGCTTTTTTCTCCTTATCATTCTCTCTATCTTTATCTAAAATAAAGGAAATCGAAAGGAATTATTTGCTCTGCTCGGTGCTGACCTGGTAAATGACCACACAGTCATTTTGTATGCTTACTTCTTGGCTTAAAAAATGTTTACCATTCTTGGGACCCTCTATGGCTGAGTCTTGTATCATTGGCAGCCTGGGTCCAGGCCCACTTGTGCTTGCTTACTTTCCGTTTCACCCGGACTGTGTGCTTAGGGTCTTCACAGTGCACACAGGAATGACCTACAATCAAGAGATTCCAAGGGGCGGCCAGCGGGTTTAGAGCCGGGGCACAGGCTGTCTGTTTTCTAGGCCAAGACTGGCAACAGCCCGAGGCCAATGAAAGCTATGCCACCTGGCTTCCATTTCGGAAGAGAAAAAGGCCGCACTGCCAGCAATAAGTAGGAGAAAGTCAGAAGCCTGAACCCGCCCCCTAGGCACCTGCATCCACTAAGAGCGGATTAAATACAGCTCGTGCCCCAACTAGCCGCCTCCCAGGTTTAAAGAATCTGACAAAAAAAAAAAAAAAAAAAAAAAAAAAAAGGGCTGAGAAGCAGCGTTTGGGCCCCACCAAGTGCGGGTTCCGACAGTTCTTTAGGGCCCCACAGGCCCCAGACCCTTCCTGGGGACTAGCAGGTGAGGGGGCGGGGTCCAGCGCAGCCCCTACGAGGTGGCACAAAAGTACTAGTTACCCGGAGGCCAGGCGCGGCGAGGTGCCCACAGCGGCCCGGCGCCCGAGTCGAGACTTCCGGGACTTCCGGAGCTCCCGGGGCCGAGGCTACGCAGGCCCCGGACAGCCCAACTACGCAGCGACCGCAGCAGCATAGCCCCTGGCTGATGTGCAAGTTCTACTTCCTTCCGGTGCGTCCGGGAGCCCCGCCCCACCCCCTGTCCGGCCCCCCCCCATTCCTTGCCAGGCCCCGCCCCTTAAGGGGTCCGCTCGTATTTCTCTCTCTAGGCTAGACCGAAGAGATTCAAAGTGAGGATTGCCCTGCTTATAGACAGCAGAGTGGCCCTGACTCAAGTAGATTTAGAGAATGGACGGCTAATAATGCCGGGGGCTGATTGGTCCCTTAGTATATCCGATTACTTCCTTGGTTGCTTGCTCCATCCACACCTCGCACTGCCTACTCAGGATGTCCTGTATTTTCCTTCTAAGAACACTGCAGTAGATCTTGTCAACTTGGGAACATTTTTAAGCTTGTCTTTGGGCTTTAAAGGGCCGTTGGTTTAATCCCCATCATCACAAAAACCAGTGTGAGGGACACAGGTGAGAGAAGATGAAAGAAAGCCATTGTTTCCAAAACCTTTGATATTTTCAATGTTTGGACTTTAATGCAGGACCACTCGGGGAAGCATAACGAATATCTCCACTGAACGGACAAAAAGAGATAAGGAAAAAAAAAAGCATGTAAACCCCACTTGTAAGCAGGTAGCAAAAATAAGCCTGGATTAGGTAGGTGCAGCTTGGATACTATAATTCACCCATTCAAGACAATAAATCCAGATGTTGCTGCCTTGACTGTATATGGGCAGTTACAATGCATGAGTGTGAGAAGTTTTCCATTACTTTCAGGTGGCAAGAAGCTGGCAGTCATCTTGGGCAGGAAGAAGAAAGATGTTTTCAGGTTGTTTTTTTTTTTTTTTACTCTTTTAGATCTGCAGCCAGAAGCCATCACCCTAACAGGACTTCCTGTTTGTTTGCTAGGCACCTAGCAAAGGTAAATATAATCTTCAAAATCAAAGTCGACGACTTTTTGTGAGCGTCTTGGGGTGAGTTGTTGGTAACTGCTGATCAGATAACAGCGCCAGGCCATAAGTTGAGGCTATATATTCAATATAGTGCCTCAGACCTTGGGGACCCTTCGAGGAAAAGAGGCAGACAGATCCTTGCTTTATAGAACTTGTATTTTTTTCCCCCGAGACGGGGGTTTCTCTGTATAGCCTTGGCTGTCCTGGAACTCACTCTGTAGACCAGGCTGAGAACTTGTATTTTTATTTTAACTGATACATAATTGTACTTATTTACAAGATACCACAGAATGTTTTATTACATGTGCACATTGTGTGATATTCATATCAGGATAAGTCTGTCTTTTCGGAATAATTTCTGTGCTGAAAACGTTCAAATTCCTTTCTTGTAGCTTTTTAATTTTTAAATAAAACAAAATGTCAATCAGACTAGCAGGACATCCGAACTTTTCTTGCCTACGTCTAACTTACTATCAGTGAATCAGCGTTTTCCTGGGGGATATACTTATAATCTGGGATGGGCTCTCAAAAAATGCAGAGGAATGATTGTCCGCTCTAGATAAGATAACCAAGGCACATCCTAAAGAGGTGGCATTTGAGGTGCTCAAATGGCGAGAAGGCCGGGCTGGCATTCTTGGGTTTTCCTCGCCTACTTCAACAGTGCTTCTCCACAGGAAAGCTCCAGGGCAGAGCAGTGGTGGGGACCTAGCCTGGGTTAGGCTAAGGGGGGCGACCTGCGTGGCTCCAGGTCTGAGTTACTGTTGGAACTTAAGAGACAAGTAGGCGGAGCCAGTGGGCGGTTCGCGCTAGTGCGCACGCGCCCCTGGACCTGGGCAAAGAGAGGTACCGCAGACCCAACCCGGGCAGTTGAGGTGTTGGCGCGCGCGAGTCCTGGAGAGAGCAATTAACTGAGAAGGCTTGAAAGAGAGGCGTGACTGTTGGATCTGTGGGCAAGATGGAATCTCCACAGGAGGTCGCAGAACCAGCAGGCTTCTGCTGCAGTCTGAAATGCTTTGTGAAGCTGCTGCGGTTGGTGAGGAGCAGGGCGGGAGCGCAAGGCGGTCGGTGGTCAGGAGTTTCCCCCGGGTAGAGAAGACTGGGTTCGGAAGCCTGGAGCAGCATTTGCACGGCCGCCTGGTTTCCAGCCACGCAAGGCATTGATTGCTCTGTTGCTCAGTCCGACCGACCGGAGAACCATAGGGTAGAGTGGCTTCCCCTTCAGATGATATAGTGACACACCCATGGTTCTATCCGAATGCCTTTCACTTGTTTTACGAACTTGGTGATAACCTACCAGGCAAGGCAGCTGTAGTCCCGCCACTCAGAAGCCATAAAGATATTTTTTAAAGTTGATGGTCTTTTACTATAAGTCGGACGTTGGATGTTACCGAACTTAGAGCGGATACAACCCCAGGGCGAGAGCAAAGAGGAAATTGCCCGTATTAGGGCTCCAGTCATAACTGGGGCATTGCAGTCTGTTCTGGATAGCACTTTGGAGAAAGAAGATCATCATTAAAGGGTAATGTTCTCAGCTAGTTAGAGAAGGTACAAACTGCCAGGTCCCGAAGAAACGGAACTGGGCTCACTCGGTACCTGTAGCTCCTCCCAGAATTTCTCACTCCGCCCCTACCCTAAAGCTCTCCTGCCCAGGGGCTGGGATTCACTTCCCTTCCCCCAGCTTCCCTTTTGCATATAAACTGACCATTTCAACAGATTCTCTTGATTCTCTGTTCCTCTCTTGGTCCCCTTGACACTCTCCCTCTCTCCCTCTCTCCCTCTCTCCCTCTCTCCCTCTCTCCCCCTCTCCCCTCCTGTTGACATGAGATGGTTAAAAGTTACAGTATTTCCCAGACAACAGAAGGCACAGGTGGGCACTGGAGAGGATGTTCTGAAGGAGATTCAAACTTCAGGTTAATGAGTAAAATTAATTGCATATAAAACCTTTCCCGTGCCAGAAATCTGTAAATCTGAGAAATAGCTCCAAATTATGATTCATATGAGACATTAAGAAAAGCGCTCTAGAGCCAAGGGAGAGAGGGTCCCTTTGGTTTATTTAATCAAGAAGATGACTGGCCATCTGGAGTTTTACATTAGTCCCAGAACACTGAAAGAGATAGACAGTTGTGGGGAGGGCGGAGTTTATCTTTGACATAACTTGTTTTTTGTTTTTGGTTCTGTTTTGCTTTTGACAGGGTCTCATAGCACGTCTCTGGCTGTTCTTGAGAAATCATACAGTTCCATCTGTCTCTACCCCCAGATTTTTTTTTCTTAAGATCTATTCATTTTGTGTGAGAGTATTTCCCCTGCCTGTATTTATATGCACCTCGCAAGTGTTTGGTGCCTTCATAAGTCAAACGAGGGTATTAGATCTCCTGGGAGTGGAGTTATGCATGGTTGTGAACCACAATGGGGTGCTGGAAAATAAATCCAAGTCCTCTGCCAGAACAATATATGCTCTTAACCACTGAGTCAAATCTCCAGCCCCTGCTATTACTTCTCTACACGGTGTGAGAGGCTGGATAATGGTTCAGTGCCGCAGCTATTGCCCTTACAGAGAACTAGGTTCTACTTCTGGTACCCATGTAGAGTGGCCTCTAGCTTCAGGAGATGAGACATGCCCTCTTCTGGCCACCATGGGCATTGCACACCTGAGACATAAATCTTTACACAATGTAACTAATGTGTTCCAACTTCTGGGCTAGTAGCTGGAAGAAAGAGAAACCAAGACAAAAGTAGATTACTAACTCACAGAATTCTTCCATTTAGTCACCAAGATGGAAGTCCCTGAATCATAGAACTTTTGAATTTAGTCACCAAAAGTTCTTCAGGAACCATCCACATTGGTTTTTGAGACAGGGTCTCTCACTGGCCTGGGGCTTGACAATTAGATTAGGCTGCCTAACCAGCAAACACGTGAGATCTGCCGTGTCCACCTCCCCAACGGTAGGATTACAGGCAGATTTAGGGTGTTCTATCATGTCCAGTTTTGGCTTTTTTTTTTGTTTGTTGTTGTATTTTAATATTAGTGTTGTACAAGTACTTTACTGACTGAGATGTGTCACCAGAACAAAATTTCTTTTTTTCTTTTTTTGGGGGAGAATGGTGGTGGTTTGTTTTTTGTGTTTGTTTATTTGTTTTGTTTGATTGTTGAAACAGGGTTTCTCTGTGTAGGCCTGGCTGTCCTGGAACTCACTCTGTAGATCAAGCTGACTTCAAACTCAGAGATCTGCCTGCCTCTGCCTCCCAAGGGCTAGGATTAAATGCATGCACCTCAATGCCAGGCTCAGAACAAAAGTTCTTGCCTCATAGAAAGCTTCCATTTAGTCCAGGACACAAACATAGAGCAAATGGTTATTGTATGTGATAGGGCACAGAGTGAGACATCTAACCAGAAGGAAACTTCCAAAAGAATCTAGCATTAGGACAAAGAGGTACCTGAAGTGAAGGCTAGTGACAAGAAAACCTTCAGCATCTCTGCACTGAACAATCAGTTTGATGCTTCGTGTACTCACTCAACAAGCACTTACTGAGTGCCTGCCATCTGCAGTGAACAAGGAATTTACATCCGATCGAGGTGGGAGAGTGGGCAGCAGAGTAGAACTCAATACATTACGTGGCATCCCAAGCATAAGTGCTATGGGATAAAAGAAATAGAAGGCAGGGAACAGAGCGTGAGGAAGGGGAGTTTAATGAAGATTGTAGATTGTAGTCACAGGGTGATAAAAGTTAGGCTTTGCTGGGACGGTATTAGTCAGAGCTAAGTGAGATGTGAGTGTTAGTGATGAGAATACATTGTGAATAGGAAAAGCCAGTGATGATGTGAAGTAAATGAGACAGGAATGTACTTGGATAATGGCTCAGTGCTGCAAGACACATCAAGCAAGCAAGGGGCGATGCCATGGAGATAGGAAGGCTGGTGGTGGCACAGTAGGCAGCAAACAGCAAATAGTCAGATCAGGAATATACAGATTCCTATCCCAAATGCTTAAGACCAGAACTGTCTAGGATTTTTGGAGTATCTACATGCATGTAATGAGATATCTCAGAGATAGAACCCAACTTTAAATGCAGAATTGACTGTTTTATGTATACCTTGTACACATAGCCTATGAGGGAGTAGACTGTTTTTAGTGATTTCATACATGAAGCAAAGGTTTGTGCACATTAAACCATCAGAGGTCAACTGTCATGCACAACATGCACAACTGTCATGCACCATTTTTGCATTTTGACCAGGTATGTGATACATGCCTTTAGTCTCGGTATTTGGGAAGCATAGATAGGTGAGTCTTTGTGAGTCTGAGGCCAGCCTGTTCTACATAGTGAGTTCCAGGTGAACCATGGTAGAACACTCAGAACCTGTTGTCACCCCACCCCCACAACAACAACAAACATTGGATCTGGGGAAATTTTGGAATTTTAGGTTAGAGGTGCTCAATATTTGCTAATGGTTCCAATGGGTAAGAGAAAGTGAGGGGACCAATGTGACCCTGCAGTTTGGGGATCTGCACAGATGAAAAAGTGGACTTGCTGTCTATTGGTATCAGAAACCCTGCAGGAGAAGCAAGTGTGGAAGGAGGACCAGAGAGCTTTGAATTCAGTAGTAGGTTAGAGATACCTGTGAGAGCCATGAGTAGCAAACACGGAAGAGGGAGTTGGCACTGGATAGAGCTGGATTTTGGCGGAGAGATGGATACATTGAAAGTCAAGTGGCGAGCCAGGCGGTCGTAGCGCTCGCCTTTAATCCCAGCACTTGGGAGGCAGAGGCAGGCAAATTTCTGAGTTCAAGAGTTCGAGGCTACCCTGGTCTACAGAGTGAGTTCCAGGACAGCCAGGGCTACACAGAGAAACCCTGTCTCGAAAAACAGAAAGTCAAGTGGTGGGTAGGGTCATGAAGAAAGAAGTGTAGATAGAACAGACAAGAGGATGAGTGAATGCTCGCAGCCTGTGAATGGTAAAGGCAGGCAGAGGAGAACGAGCAAAGAGTGGGAGGGAGTTGTTAGGGAGGTAAAACAAGACAAGTCATAGTGTCCTGGATGCTAAGTGAAGAAACTCAAGGCTGTGATCAGCTGCATTAGACACTAGGGGAACAGAAGAAAACAAGGCCTGGGCTGTGACCACTGGAATTTTCATGGACAAATCGAGAGGCAGATTTTTGCTCCAGAAGTAGATGGTAGCTGACTCTGAGACCCAAGACACACGGTAAAAGGGGGACTGTACAGTAGAGGATGCAGACTGGAAGGAATTTTAAATAGACATAGTATGTGAACAGATTTACTTTTAGAAGGTTGTGTTGCCATAGTTGATGGGAAAGACACTTGCATTTCCATTGTTTGTCTCATCTGATCAATTGGAGACAGATATACACCTGTGAAACTATCACCATAAGCAGGATAATCAATACAGCCATACATGGCAAGCCTTCTCAAGTATGGGCTGACTGCTTATATAACAGTGATCCCGTGAGATGATGTCACCTGGTGATATCAGCACCATCTTGATATCTGTATTTTTATGATAAATTTGCACAACAAAATCATTCAATAATGTATTTCCCAGAGTTTGTCTGCTTGTTACGTGGCACGTGATTGGCACCCAAACCCCTAAAATGTTCCTCATGGCCATGGTAATCCCTTCTTCCTGCCTTCTCTAGCTGCAGGGGTCCACTCATCTGCTTCCTGTAATTTGTATATTTTCTGTAAAATTTAGTTCTGTTGCCTATAAATATACTTTTTGCTGTAACTGCAGATGAGCTTTTATTTCCTAGAATTTTCTATCAATAGCATAATGCATATTTCATTCATCATAATTATTTTGAGAGTCAACAATGTCATATGTCGATAGTATATCCATATTAAAACTTCATTCTTTTTCCTAACATTCCATTGTGTGGATAGACCTATTCCCCTGCCCTTCATGCATGCGTGCATGTGTGTGTGTGTGTGTGTGTGTGTGTGTGTGTGTGTGTGTGTGTATGTGCGCGCACGTGCATATATGTGTGTGTGTACATATATGCTTTTGTGAGTGGCTGTATGTACATTTATATATGTGGTATGTGTATGCATGTGCACATCCATGTATTTGTGGGGATTAACAAAGGCCTTCAGATGTGCTGTTAGTTACCGCTCATACCAATTATTGAGCTACATCTCAGCTCTGATCACATGTTCTTTATCCATTCACTAACTGGCATCATTTAAGTTGTTTGTAGTCTTTAGCTGTCCCTTAATTGTAATGGCAGTGCATTTAGTAAGAGGAACTATATGAAAATGCACATAGATTTCTTTTTCTTCTGTCAATGTTTCTACCCATCTCCTCCTCTCCTTCCACTCCCACCCTCCCCTTCATCTTTACCCTCATGGAAACAGTCATCTGAAGTTCGATAGTAGATTGCAGATTACTAAGAATTAAGGAATTGTGAGGGAATGGACGAGGAAGAATTCTAGGCAGCCAGGATGGAGATGCTTTTGAGAAGTAGCAAGAAGCAGCAAACAAGCAAACAGAGCAGAACAGGGCTTGTCTGGGGAAGAGATGAAAGGAAAGGGCTTTGGGAGGAGTGTTTCACAGAAGACAACCTAGATGTCTTATAGGAAGACAATGAGAAGAGCTGGCTGAGGAGGGCAGACCGAGGGGGAAAGGAGAAGCTTGGAGGGGACAGACCTGAGAAGCACAGTGGAGTGATTAGCTGCACTTGAAACAGGTCACTTAGTCCTCTAAACCACAAGCAGGACTCAGTACCCACATGTTAGCCATGCCTCTCCTGTCTACAACATCTGACAGACATCTTACTGGTTTTAGACCTCAGTTTGGGGCTAGGGCTCTGTGTAACTCAGGAGTACAGCACTCACATACCTCAGACCCTGGATCCAATCCCCAGTACCCCACATGTACACACCCTCCCCATAGTAAGTAAACTGATTGTATGATCAATGACTAAGTCTTTGTTTTCTTCTTCTAGGCGGTAAATGTGGTATCAACAATCTTTTTCATCAAGGCACAAGCCCCTGAACCGTACATCGTTATCAGTGCGTTTGAAGTCACCATTATTTTCTGTTTCATAGTCTTGTACACGTGCAAACTCGACAGAGTACTGAGAGCTTTCTTTTGGCCTTTGTTTGTAAGTGATGAACTTCAACATTAAAAACGTAACTACCTTTCCTGCCGTAGGGAAACACTGTAGTCAACGACTTGGTTCTCCTAAATCTTTTAGGATGATCTCTGCTCACTGCTAAGCTCCCCATGTTTTTCTTGGGGAAGGCCCTCAGAGATTCAGGGCAGCCACACAACATAAATTCTCTTTACTGTACGTACCAAGAGGTGTGGCTGACCTTTCCCTTTGGAGAATTCTCTTAAGTATGAAGGTTCTAAAGAAATTTAGATTTAGGCCCATGTTAATAAATTAAAGCATGCTCTTACCTCTTGCCCCCCCTTTGATTTTTTTTTCTGCTTTTTTTTCTTTTATTAAAAATAGATCCTTTTCTCATACAATATACCCTGATTATAGTTTCTCCTTCCTCTGCTGCTCCCAGTTTCTCCCACCTCCCATCTCCCTGGATCCACTCTCTTTCTGTCCCTCATTAGAAAACTATAGGCTTCTAAGAGATAGCATCCAAACATGACAAGATAAAATATAATAAGATGAATCATACTGAAGTTGGACGTGGCAGCCTAACAGGAGGAAGACAGTCCCAAAAGCAAGCAGTCAGAGACCTATTCACACCATTAGGAATGCTTGCCCTGTTGTCAACTGTCAAAATAGACACATGGAAATTATTGGGTGAGGTCTAAGTGGCCCTTTAGCAAAGGATTGCAAAATTAGTTCTAGAAAAAAAAAAAGGCAAAAACCAGCTTAACTTTTACCTCTCTCTCCTCTCTCAAGTCACATCCCAACACCCTGTCGCTGTGCACCCCCTACTCTCCATCCCCTCTTTGGCCAAACAGGAAGCTGCTACCTCTTCATCACTGCACTTGTCATGTCCTCTTGGATTCTGAAGTAGTTATATTTAAGCGGCTAATTAAGGAGACAAGACTTCAGAGATGTTCTCAAACCAGAAGCATGCTTTTAAATGGTACCTTCTGGAACCATCTTTGGAAGCAAGTAATGAGCATTTTAGGCCGGAGGTGTGTAATTCAGTTGGTAGAGTGCTTGCCAGGCATGAACCCAGCCATCACTTTGATCCCTTGCATAGCATAAACCAGCTATGCTAGCACACATCTGTACTCAGCATCTTGGGAGGTGGAGGCAGGAGGATCTGAAGTCGAAGGTCATTCTTGGCTACACAGAGAAATGGAGGGGAACCCTATCTCAACATAATAACATAGTACAAGTTAAAAATAAAGCCCAAACTAGAAGTGGTTTAGTTTAAAGACACCACTTAGGCTGTTGTCATCATGCAGCCATAGAATGATCACGGTATGGACTAAGGTTATAGCTATAGGAGAAGACAAAGGAGTTCTCTAATGAGGTTCCTGCTACTAATGACTGGATGCAACATCTGCTTTCTGCACAACTGCCACTGATGCTCTACTGCAGAGTATTTCTACTGCCACTTGCTAACCACTGAGCTACGTCTCCAGCCCTCTTTTTTTTACTTTTTATTTTGAAATAAGGTCTTACTGTGTTGCCCAAATTGGCCATGAACTCACCCTGTGTAGCCCAGGCTGACCTTGAGCTTTCCCTCTTCCTGCCTCAGCCTCGCCATTGTAAATACCAACTGCTGGAGGAGTATTCACCCACCTACTGAGGGAGGAGAGCAGGCTAAGGAGCCCACCCAGTGGCATCTTCAGGTGGAAATGTCTTCACCAGCTTAGGAGGAGAACAAGAGCGAAGGTGCTGGCACTGAGCTCGGACAGAATGTAGAGAGTGAAGAAAAGCGGCGGCAAAGAAAGGCAGGCAGGGAAACAAGGAGGCCCAGTGTCACCGACCAAATCATGCGGGAATAGTGAAGAATGTCACATAGACAAAAGGAAACATACTAAAATGTGTAAACCTCACCCCCACCCCTGGCTGTGATCATAGAAGGACCCTGGTAGGCTCTCTCCAGAGGGACTAGCCATGACTGCCAGGTACTAGCAAGATTGTGAGGCCAATCACGAAAGGAAGACAGCTTATAACCAAGAGGCCACCACTGCTCTAATTTCCTGTTTCCTAAGGGAATTCTACAGATAAAGGAAGCAATAATGGAGCCTCTGCAGGGTGAGTAGGAGAGCGATCAGAGGTACTCGCTAGGGCTTTAAGGTTCAAACTTAACTATGAAATCTTCATTTTCTTGTCATTAAATTTGCATCCTGCTTCACAGCATATTTGGAGGTTGGGGCTTTCTTTATATGTTTGTTTTTCTGACAGGGTCTCTCTCACTAGCCCTGGCTGTCTTAGAACTTACTATGTAGACCAGGATGCCCTTGAACTCCCAGAGATGTGTGTGCCTCTGCCTCCTGAGTGCTGGGGTTAAAGGGCTATGCCACCGTGCCTGGCTGCGTATTCAGCTCTCCATGTAAAGACAGTGTTTCAAGCTGGGTGAGCATGCTCACACCTATGATCTCAGCATGCAGAAGATTGAAGCAAGGGGGCCTTGAGTTAGAGATCTGTCCTGGCTACAGGATGAGTACCAGACTAGCCTGGGCTACAGCCTCAAACTCTGTCTCAAAACCCAAAAATAAATAAACAAACAGGACCGGGCGGTGGTGGCACACACCTTTAATCCCAGCACTTGGGAGGCAGAGGCAGGCGGATTTCTGAGTTCGAGAGTTCGAGGCTAGCCTGGTCTACAGAGTGAGTTCCAGGACAGCCAGGGCTACACAGAGAAACCCTGTCTCAAAAAAACCAAAAAAAATAAAATTAAATTAAAAAATAAACAAACAGGATATTCTAAACTTCCTCTAGGGAGCATAGGTATTCAGACATAAGCATGTCCCCTCTTTCCACCCCCACGGTTCTATGCACTCCCTGGGACAGCACTTTGGTACCAAGCCAGTTACAGCCTAACCCTGAGTTAGCTATTGCAGCTGCTGGCTGGGGTAGGGCCTGCTGCCCTGAAGCAAAACATCCAGCCAAGGGGAGTTTACCCAAGATGACCAGTCTCATTGTCTGCTGCAACTTTATTTCCTTCCTTAAATCAGACCTCATAATTAACGACTTTTCTTTTGGAATCTACAATTTCTCCATTAATTTCTTCCTGCCTACTTATTGTACACATGCATAGACCATTCCATGTTGAGGGCAATTTAATTTCCCACAATACACATCAATCTAAATGTGTAACTTGCTCTTGTTAAAATGCTTCATTTTGGAGAACTGATTAGAAGAAATAACAATTGGCAAACTGCTGCATGACAAATGAGGGCGGGGCCTATCCTGGAAATGTCCAGTCTAAATGTGTGCTGTTTTCAGTGGGAAAGGGAGGAGTTGCTTTCTGTTTGTTTGTGTGTGTGTTTGTTTTTAAATGGGGTCTCACTGTGTGGCACTAGCTGGCCTGGGACTCCATGTAGACCAGGCTGACCTCAAACTTCTGTGTGCTGGAATTAAAGGCATGTCCTACCATGTCTGGCTTCATGTTTACTCATGGCATCTTAGAAACAAAGTCATTTGACAGCATATTTTTTTCACATTTCCTAATAAAAAAATAAGCATTCCAGCTTCCTAAGGGACACTCTGTAACCTAAAACTGCTGCATAATTATCTCTCTTTCCTATCCAGATGAGTTCTCCCTTCACCTATATCTGTGTTTTAGTGAAACAAATATAAAATGCTTACATAATTAAATGAATTCATGTGTTCTAAGACCATAGAGCAATTATAGGAATTAACTTACTGTAATATTTTAGTTTCGTAAAATACATTGATGTCTGCAAAATCGAATAAAACACAGCCTAATTTTTTAGGGAGTTGCTCACACCTTTTTTTTTTTTTAAGCAGTACCTGTTGGTTTTGATTTCCCCACAGACGCCATGGAACTCGTAACCTAGAGCTCTGCTAGGCTCTGAGCTGTGTTCACAGTCTCTGATACCAAGCTGACTTCTCCATTCTGTGTTCTTAGGATGTTATCAACTCAATGGTAACAACATTATCCATGCTTATTGTGTCTGTGTTGGCTCTAATACCAGAAACCTCAAAAATGTCAATCCTTGGAGGGGTAAGTAGAAGTCTTTCATGTTTCTTCCAGTTGGATCAAAATGCAAATTAATTTGGAAATCTGACAGGATCCCAGACTGCCCTACAGCACCTACTGACTTTATAATTTGTGTGAGCAAATACATTGCCTGATTAGCATAGATAGACAGGGTTTCATATTGGGATCCACCAAACAAAGAGATCCCTGCATGTTTCTTACAGGGCTATACTAGACAGAATCTGCTGGAATCAGCTACCACTCTTAGCTCTGAAAAACCTGATGTTAAACAAGAAAGGAAGCATGATCATTTCATAGTTCCCCTTTTGAAAGGACCCATATCACTGTTAGGTGAGACAGAATATTCCCATAACTCTTCAGATGCAATATAATAGATTTCCCTACTGCACAGGATATGGTAGGAACCTTGCAAACCAAGGGTTATTCTGAGTACTGCCTAAAGAGAAGCAGGTCGACCTAGACAGACTTACTCCTGGCAAGCAAGCCCAAAGGGAAGAGGGCAGAGATGTCTCTGTACCTCTACCTGGTTTTCTCCTGAGATCTGGTCATCTGACTTTCCTAGGCTCTAATCTAGAGAGCTACTTTAGAAGTGTCTTCCTTGCTCCTTTCCTGTACTTCCTTAGCAAGGGACACATAGAACTGACCTTGATCTGCCATGACTGTCAGAACCCTAGGTTTCAACTCCTGTCGGCACTGAACAACTTTGTGAGAGATCATCAAAGTTGTCTAGATAGGAGGTATGCTGAAATAGCACCCCCTCAGTTGTTCTAAAGACAGTTCTGTCTGTCTACTCTTTTAAAAGATGAGCCAGTCATAGGACTCAAATTCATTTGTTCATCTGTTCTCTCACTCACTCATCACTTAAAAGATGACAAAGTGGAGTTGTTCCCCAGCAGAGTGGCCAGGAGCCATGTGGCCACCTAGCAGAGGGACTGGAGCTTGTACGGCCTGAGACAAGCTCTGTCTATAAAATATGCATTGAATTTCAGAGGTTTTATTCTCTCTCCAAAAGAACAACATAGAATATTTCACTAATAACTTTTATGACGGCGATGATCTGTAAAGGGAATGCAGCCAACTATAGATAAGCCATTAATGGAGCACTGCCCAGCCCAGGAGAGAGAGAACTGCTACTCCTCTCTGGCAGTGGAATTACACTTTGCTTACTTTCCCTTAAGCTCAATTTTCTTTTCCTCGGGCCTGTTCAGACTCCTCTGCCTTACATGGATGGTACCCAGCCTTTGAAAGTTCCCTCTGGAGATTCTTATCACTCCACTTCTACAAAAGTCATATCATAACTATGGTCCCTAGGTCTTAATCTCAAGCTGCTGCCAGCACCAGCTCTTTCCCCAGACAAGTTTGGTGATAGAAAAAGCAAAGAGCTGACCAATGGAGAGAGAAATGTGGGGGTGATAGCTAAATTGGTCAGTAGGGCTTTAAAGAACCCACACAGGCCAGTGCAAATCAAGATGGAGAGGCAACTTGCATTCCACCTCAGGGGTAGTGAGTTCTGCTCACTGCAGCTATCTTGTCCTTCACTGTGGGTGGGAATGGGGGAAACTCAGCCGTGCTCTCTAGCCTCCCTCCCCACTCTATGGTGGACGGTAGCACAGAGAGTAGGCACCCTACCCAATGGGCAGATCCCTGAGAATTTACATGGCAGAAACTGATGACAGTGTCTCTGTTTGCAGGTGTTTGGTCTCCTGACAGTAATATGTACTATTGCTGATTGTGCCCTTATGTGCCAGAAACTTCAGATAAAGCCGCACAGACTTTATCAGAAAAGGTCTGCTGATGACATAGATGAAGGATAATATTTTTGTACTCATTTTTACTAGTTATTAAATTAATTCTTTAAACTTCCATATATTTTCTGCAGATCTCATTTCAATGTGACTACCGGCTAGTTTCGTGTCAACTTGACCCACCTAGAGATCTGTGGAAAAAGGGTCCCAATGGAAGGGCATCCTGAGACACACGATCTCAGGAACCTCATAGCTCTGCAAAGAAGCCTTCTTGGCAGAGGTGCTCCAGCTCCCAGGGGAGGGATGCCCAGCTGAGCTCAGGACCCTCAACCACTCTCCTTTCTTCTCTTAATTGCTTCTTTTTTTTTTCTTGACTTCGTCCAAAGAGAGAGTCACACCAAGAAGAAAATCTCATAAAAGAGATTTATTGGGGGTCCAGGGTGTGTAGGTGTGAATCTGGGGATAGCTGCTGGAATGGGCAGCACAGATGGGGACAAAGGGACAGTGATTATATAGGATTTCTGAAGGGACAGATCTCTGGGCAGATTCAAGTCCTGAACTTGGGAACTCGGATTGGTAGGTTTTCCCTTTCAGGGATTGGTGGCTTTTTTAACTCCCTTTCCCCTGCATCCAGCCCATGGCTTAGGGTGAGAAGTCCTTCCTGGCCAAAGCTGTCTTTTGCTGAGGTGACATCTCTATGGGACTGCTGGGGTGGGGGTGGGGATAATGGAAAAGGGGTGCTGCCACGGTGGACAGCTTTTGAGGGGCAACTTCTGCTGAGGCAGAAAAGGAGATGGGCCCCCATCGACAGGTCCTGGGATGGCAGACTGAGGAGATGTGGTGGTGCCACCATTTTAACCTGGGCATGTTTTAGACATCTCTTGTGTGATGTTTCACTGCAGTGGTAATAGACCGGGATGTGGGATAGCCTCTGCTTTCATTGACTTTGCAACATGCTGCATAGACACTACACATATCCCCAAATAACTCCAGAACCTCTTTTCTCTGGGTTGGCTGGCAGCATCTCCTGAGGATGTGGTTGCTGGATCTTGAGTTTTCAGGCTCCCTTTGTCCCACAACAAGGTCAGCAGACTGCTAGGCTAGGCAGCAGCCATGAAAAACGTGTGCACGCGGGATAAGCTGCCAGGCGTTGAAGCCAGTTCCCCAGTGGACCATCGCCCTGCGGCTCGACCCAGCCAACTGGAGGGGCAGGGCTAGCCTGACATAATCAGGCTTGGAACCCACCATGAATCCTGAATCCACCAGGCGTGGGTCCAGGAATGAGTTCAAGTGTGAATCCAGCCGCACAACATCACAATCAAGTCTGGGATGGTCCCTCACCCTCAGTCACAAGTGTCTGTTGTCTCTGCTGCACCTCACCAGGGACCTTAAGTAGCTGGAACACCATCCTGCCAGGAACCTTCAGTAAGGGCTACACCATTTAGTAATGCACAGAGACCACATTGTGGAAAAATTGCCAAAGAAACACACTCAACATGAGAAAGTGCCACTAACTCAACGATCCAAGGTACTTGCAACCATCAAAACATCAAAAGACAACCTGAGGGCACAGGCAAGGTGGTTGATTCAGACTGCTTCAGCATTTTCGCTTCTCAGCCAATGGGATGTCGAAGGAGCTGCCAGCTGATTGGGTGGGTGGAAGGGACAGAGAATCACTATGTAGTTCTGGCTGGCCTGTAGCTCACTATGTAAACCAGGCTAGCCTTGAACTCAGAGATTATCTGCCTGCATCTGCCTCCAGAGTGCTGGAACTAAATACTGACCCACCACGCTCAGTATCACACATCATTTCTCAGTCCTAAAGGTTTCCCCTGTCCTCCTCCTTTTAGGGTTTCCCCTCACAAATCAAAGTAGGGAAACACTGAGTAAATAACAGCGTTGTAATCTAGCAAGCAAAAACCGATAAGAGCGGCCATCCAGAAGAGCCAGTCAAGCAGCGCACAAGAGAAAAGAATTCAGGACAAAGGGAAGAGAGGCAGACATTTAAAGTTAATGTCAGAATGGGGGAGTGCTCCCAACCGTCCCTGACAGAGAGAGGACCTGCGGATGGGGGCACAAACCTTCTGGGAAGGAAAGTTTCATGATCCAAACTGAACCCAAAATAGAGAGACTAGAAGGGAACAATGCACAAAACAAAGGAAAAGCAAGGGGCCTGTAAAGTGGCTAAGTGTGGAAAGCCTGCTAGGACCACACCCAAAGACCAGACTGCAATCCCCAGAAGTCAAGTGGAGGAAGGAGAGAAGCATCCCTTGCGATTATTGTCTGACCCCCACATGCGCCCACTCCTGTAACCATCTCCTCAAACAAAAACAAATGGGTGTTAGTTTGTTATTTTAATTCTAAAACGATCTTTCCCTAAAGTATTTCTTAAAAAGTGAATCAGACCCAGGGTTGATTTCAGGGTGAACGCTTTCAAAGCATAAGATATCATTCAGATGATGTTCAAACTTTATTTATTTTTATAGAAACAAGCATTGGGGGGTGATTTGCTTTTCTGAAGACTGAATACACTTACATTTGTCAGAAAAAAACCTCTACCACTGAGCTAGGTCCCCATCCCCTTTTGAGTGATTATTTTATAGTCGGTCAAATGCTGACATCAAAACTTGATCAGGTTTAGAAAAAGCAAACAAAATAGAAATCTCACACAACCAAAGCAAAGATTAATGTACAGGTCCAGGATGATTAGCAAGTGTGACATCACGGGATGGATCCCAGAATAGGAAAAAAAGGTTACCATATTAAAAAACAACAACAACAAAAAACCATTTTTATTTTTAAAGTATATATCACAAAGAGGAAAACAAGGGTGATTTCCTACTAGAGCTCCTAAAATAAGCCACCATATTATAAGTAAAATGTTATGAGATTAAATCAAGCAGTGTCTGAGAACATGTGAAAAACATGTACATTTGATGCTGATGCCCAGGAAGGAGGAGGAGGAGGAGGAAGAAGAAGAGGAGGAGGAAGAAAAGGGGAAGTTGGAAGATAAGCATAGAGGTTTCACTGCCATTCTAAAACTAAACATCTTACCCAGAATCAGCAAGGTCTTTCGTTAAGGTATCACAAGTATTCTTATTCAAGAGATAAGAGAGGGGATGCCTTCCAGTTAGTGAGTGCCTTTCCGGGATGACAATCACTCCAGAATTCCTCATGATGGAGGAAAGGAAATGAGACTGTCTGAAGATCTATTTCTTTCCACTGGCACAATCACAAATCTGAAATCCACTGGGAGATCATACAGAACAAAATAACTTAGCAGGGTGGCAATCAAATTAGTAAACTAAAAAGCTTTCCTATAATCAACTAAAATGTAAGAAGCCAAGCCAATGATGAACACCTTGATTGAATCCCAGCATTTGGGAGACAGAGGCAGACAGATCTCTGTGAGTTCAAAGCCACCCTGGTCTACATGGCAAGACCCTCTCTCTAAAGCAAAAATCAAACAAGCAAAATCAAAAGGAAATGTTTCTCTTCACTACAGTCATCAAAACGATCAATATTTAGCAGAGATGTAAAAATAAAAACCTAAATCAGAAGAAAACTTCAAAACCTTCCCAGGGGAGAAAACACACTAAAATAACAATTGGTTATGGATTCAGAGTTAGATGAAATCCTAATGAAATGCCCCCAGGTTTGATGTAGAAACACAACCAAGATACACGTGGGTGTCATAAGCAGTCTGAAATGGAAAATGAGAGCATTGGATCAAGCAGGAACACTAGTGAGCCACCCTACCATATGGAAAGCACTCTGGAGGCTGGAGAAATGGCTCAGCACTTAAACTGGGGTCAGATTTCAGCATAGGTGGCTCACAATCCCCTTTAAGTCTACCTGCAGGGGTCTGACAGCCTTCTCTGGCCTCTGTGAACACACACACACACACACACACACACACACACACAATTTAAAAAGAAAAGTACTTTAAAATTTAAAACGTAATGAGAGAATAGAGTCAAAAGAGTTACATGTGAGAATTTAGGAGATGACAAAGATGTCATTTTTTGTCCATTAGGAGAAATCCAAGCATCTCCCAGGGACTGACTGAGATAACCAGCTGTTTGAACAGAAAAAAATACTGGGGTTCTACCTCACAATTCCTGTCAAAATCAACATCTGTTTACTTCTATATTTACTGGCAGATACTTGGATTTCCTTTTAGAAATACAGACCAAGAGTTGTGATCTCTCCTGAGGAGACAGACTTGCTAGGAGTGGTAACACTCACCTATATTCCCACCACTTCGGAGGCAAAGGCAGGCAGATCTCTGTGAGAAGTCAGTTCCTTCTGAGAAGCCAGAAGACTGTCCAGGTCTCTTGGAAATGGAGTTAGAGTCAATTGTGAACCACCACATGGGGGCCAAGAACCCAACCCAGGTCCCCTGTAAGGAGCACCATGTTCTGTTTACCACAGAGCCATCCCCAGCCCCCCATCACTCTTTTTCTATTTTTTTAATTTTATTTTGAGATAATGTTTGAGCCTGTTGTATTACAGGCTTGTCCAACTTGGATATGATAGGTTTTGCTTCATCTTATATTTTACTCTGTCATATTTGGTTGTTATCTCTTAGACGTCTGTTCTTTTCTAATGAGAGACAGAAAGGGAGTGGTTCTAGTGGGGAGGAACTGGGAACTGTAGAGGAAGGGTAAACTAATAAGCAGGATGTATTATACAAAAAAGGGATCTATTTTCAATAATAGAAAAAAAGCAGAAAAGATCAGGAGACAAAATTAAGAACGTGCTCTATTTTATTAACATGGCTATAAATCTAAATTTCTTTAGAACACTTATGGTTAGCTTACAGGCAGCTCTGCTAGGCTCCTCCGTGGGACCTAGCAACAGCTTGAGTCATCATCTGCCTCTCCACCAGGTGCACCAGATGAGCCAGGTGTGCCAGATCATGAGCCAGGCGCGAGCAAGCCAGGTGCAAGCCAGGTGCAAGCCAGGTGCAAACCAGGTGCAAGACAGGTGCAAGACAGGTGCAAACCAGGTGCAAGACAAGTGCAAGACAGGTGCAAGACAGGTGCAAGACAGGTGCAAGACAGGTGCAAGATGGTTCAAGACAGGCACAAAATAGGCATAAGCCAGGTGCAGCCACAGCAGCTTATGAAGACTGCTTGCTACCCCAACTCTTCCTCCTCTTTCTCTGTTCCCACTGGTCACAGCCAGCCCCTCTTCCTCTCTAATCCTTACCGTCCTTCTCTGACCCCTTGGCTCTGCTCACTTCTGTAAGCTTATACCCCTTCTCCAGATCCTCACGCCCCTCCCTCCCCCTAAACGAATTTCCCTTATACCAGATGTGTCACATAGCATGATTTCTCAGAGGAAACACCATGGCATGGGCCTACCAGGTACCCTCGATGGCTCTGGTCACATATTTCATAACATTGGTGCCCAAAGACTTGATAGTCTCTCCTGGTACTTGTGCTCCCCACCCAGGGTTTGACTCACACATGGTAAGACCCTGGGTCCCTGTCTCCAGTCTGCCTGCAACAGGGTCTCTTTCCTGCCACCTGACCACTGGAGTTCTCCACACACCGACCAATTGGAGAGTTTCCCCTTCTGGTCAGCAAAAGGGCTTCCCTGGAGGCCTCACTCTTCTACCAGCAGCTCCTCTCTAAGAAAACCTGGCACCAGGTGTACCATGTCTGTTCAGGCATCTGCCCTAATCTCTGCTCATCCTCATGATGTGCTGGGGACAGCCCGCAGTAGGCCAGGATGGAGACATCTCAGTAGCCTGCAGCAGCTCTTTATTAAAAAAAAAAAAAAAAAAAAAAAGTTGTTCCCATTTCTCCTACCCTTAGCCCTGGACAATGGCTGTATAGATTCTATTTGTGCATGACTGCTTTTCAGTTGGCCTTTATGGCCTTGATGTGCATAATTAGTCTATTATATCTGACTTTCCTACTCTCTTCTTCTGCTCTGGTGAATTCTGCAAAACTAGATGTTCCTTGATGTAATGATTCTTAAACAATTAAAAATTGAGGCATAAGGCACAGCACAGTCCTAATGGCCCAGGTGCATGCTGTGTGTTCTCATCTTGGAAACAATGTGATAACTGCACAATGGTAGTTCCAGATTAATGTTTGATTTGCAAAGTTTGAAGAAATCATGTTTAGAAATACTAGAAAATAAAACAGAGCCACATACTGCTAGAGTTATACAGGGTTCATAATCAGAAAGTAAAGGAATTCACTAGAATCATGAAAAAGCATTAGTACAAGACACATAATCATGGGATAAGGAAAAATGGAATAAGAGAACACAAACATTAGATACGTTAATTCAGAAAGGAAAAAAGCTATTGAAGTTATGAAATGAGTTTTGCACAACATTTGAGAGTAGTTCCTGTTCTCCTTTGGATATGTATAGATAAGAAAGTACAAAATACATAAAATTATATATTAGTAAAACCAAGTCATCATTATTATTTTGGCTACAGGTCTGGAAATAGGGAAGCTTGAAACTTTGAGGAACAATTGTAATTCTTGATTCTTTGTGGGATGTGGTTGTTCTTTTGAATTTGATTTTGGCAATGATTATACAATGTCTTTTTTTTTTTTCTACCTGCTTTTGGAGTGTCAATAAAAGACTGGGGCAAGGGAAAGTCGAGAAAGTGAGTGAAGAGAGAATGTGAGGTGTTCATGGAGAGGGAGTGTGGAGTGAATGAGAGAGTGAGTGTGTGGAAGAAGACCTCACAGAGTGAGTGTGTGTGAGAAAGGGAGCGAAGGAGAGAGCACAACCTCCAGCCCAAGGAGGGCGCAAAAGTGCATGTAGCTTCAAGGACAGAGAGAGAGGGAGGGAGGGAGGGAGGGAGGCCTGTCAGCTTGTACTGAAAAGTAGTCTGTGTCTGTTTATTATGCGCCTTCCAGATATCCCTGCTTCCAGTTGAGAGAACTCTGATCCTGCGTTGAGGCTGGACCCGGACAGTGACGACCTGGCTGGACCGCTTGTACCAACTTGTTCTAGTGTTCTTGAATGCCTTCGGCTCAGGCCAGTGACTCCTTCCAGCCCGTGGGAACTGCGTACAATTATTGCCAGCATATCCAGTAAATGGAACGAAAGTCCCCGTTCTGCATTTCTCTTTTCTCTAAGACATGTTTCTTCCTGCTTGGTATCCCTCCCCACATCTAGTTTATAACTTAAAACAGATTAGGGCGGGGTAGGACATACCTGTTCCCCCGCCAATGGCTATTCCTCAGCCTAGCTGCTAATCTACTAAATGACATGGGTCATTTGTGAATTTGATTCGAAATTCTACCTACATTCCTATTCCGTGACACTGGCTCTCGGCCTGCTCACGTGGACCGGTGCGTGCCTCCCCCGCGCCTCCCGCCACTCCTTCCTCCCTGCCTCCCTGCCTCCCTGCCTCCCTGCCTCCCTGCCTCCCT